TTTCTCTCCAACCCTAATTATGCTGGTAACATCACGTGTTAAGATGTTAAGATGTCTTCATATATATTGATATATGTATGCGTAGTTAAGCATTGCTTGTACTGACGAGCAGATGAACGCTCATTGATGACATGTTATTGGCTATATATATTTACGTTTATTGGCTGGTCATGATCAGATTTTTTCTTTTTCTTTTTTTGCTTTCAAAAGGATWGAGAAATGGAATAAAAATGATTTGCAAATTAAGGGGAAATTAACGCTACGAATTAGCAATAATAGCCGGCAATTACGAAAAAAAAATCGAATTGGTGCTACTGTTTCTTTAAATTAAACGTTGAACTATGAGAAAAATGTATACTTTAATTTTAAATTGAAAAAAGCTTGACCTACGAAAGCTGAATATAAAATAAATTTCCGCTTGTTGAATTCATCTACTTGAAAGAAACTTTATAATCTCAGTAAACAATCAACATTTTGATCCATTTAGACAATATGGCCGCCGCGACATCCAGTTGCAGTCTCGTCACTATGATTAAGAAAGTGTAGTATCTTTATAACAACTGAATTTCTTGAATTAACAGTTATGACTATTTTATTATTCTCTAAATCCAACGCAACCGAAACGTTCAGGATAAATTGTTTTTTCAGTCAGTGTTCACTCTGAAATATTTTCTTTTCTAAAACCAATGTTCAGTTTCTATTATTTTTTAAGCATAGGTGAAACGGTTTGACAAGAAAAGTCTCATTAACAAGGAAAATGATATTTTTAAAAACTGGTTTTTCAGAGTCAGTTTTGAAATACAAAAAACCTTAATTCTTTTAAAAATAGAAAACATTCGAGTACCATTAATGAAGGATATGACAACCTTTTAAACAGATTGTCATCATCATAAATTGATTTGCCCTGGCATACTTAGGAGATTGCACGCTTTTCTGGGAGCACTATGAATATCGATGAGACAATTTATTTTAAAGTAAATATTGCGAAATGGCACTTACATTATGCCAGCAGCCTTCCTGGAAATGTTGGGTAGTTTCCTGGTATTGTCATTTTCCACGGTTATGCAATCATTTACAAATAGTTTGTATTTATGAGTTTAAATTTTTTATGTTGTTAGAAAACTTTAATCAATAATTAATAATAACAATAATCTCTAATCAATAATTAATAA